TCTATTCTATTTACGATAGCTGGTAAACTTAACCTGTCGATCAGAGCAAGTGAAAGATGTCATCAAGAGAAAAGAAAAACCATCAATGGTGAAGATATCTTGTTTGCTATGCAAACATTAGGATTTGACAACTATGTAGAGCCACTTAAGTTATATCTACAGAAATATAGAGAGGTAAGAATCCTCTAATAATAATATCATCTAATAAGTAAGTGAATGAAGACTGTGTACGTTATAACCACTCAAGAATGAAGGTTTTTTAAATGTGTGTTTGTTAATTTTTCAGTCTATAAAAGGAGAGAAAACATCGATGCCCACAACAACAGAAGGAAGAGAAGATATTGAAGAAGATGACCACAGTTTACAACAATTTCAAGTTGGTCAGTATCCAGTTATTCTTAGATTAGATCATACAGTACTTTTTGCGTCATTGCAAGGCAATGTTATGCGTTGCCATGGCTTGATTCGTGTCATTGCCAAGCAACGTTCAGCGTTACCATGGCGTGATTCGTGTCAATTTTCTGCATTACCGTGCCGTCATCGCCGTCATCCGTTCTATTGTTTCCTCTYGTAGTGCCTGATAAATGTAAATCTGCTAAAGCAGTGTGCAGCCATGCCACTTTCTCGAGCACTTTTTTAGCCTGCTTTACATCCGGTTTAATAAGGCTAGCACTTTTTCCGTTGCTACAAAATCTGTTTTCGCGGTTTCTTTGCAAATATGCAATTATTTAGCGAACTTAACAAAGTGTGAGGCCTTCATTTCCCATTTTTTTCTGTATTTGATACTCTGATCAAAACACAGGGGTTGTAGAGCGACCACTCGAGAAGTTGAAAGCATCTCGACTTCGCCTCATGGTTTCCAAAAATTCTCTCGTTTTCCCTACATCCCTCTTGTTATTAGAGWATCAAATCATTTGGTTTGAGGAGGATAAAATCCAAGTCATGAGTAACCTGCTTATTTTCGGGCTCCCTGTGAAATAGGCAACAACAAAAATTGTATTTGCAGAAMAAATATTAAAAYTATTTATTTATTTATTGTTTATTRTTTTTTAACAGTGMTTTAAAATTCTTCAATTTCTTCGATTTCAAATTTTTCGATATAACACGTTAATAGTAACCATTATATCGTGCTGTTCTATTTCAGCCCACATTCACCCGTCAATGATTACAACAGACCAGACATCGACAACTATTTACACTCAAGCTTACCAGCCTACTGTAAGTCTACTAATATTATTCRTGTAACTGTGATTGTGAATTTTATTTATAACTTTTACGCATGAAGAGCACTCAAATGACGGCTGATCTTGCTTTTCATTGGTCAATTCAAAAATATTTTTAYGCTGTCTCGCATTGTAATTCACCTTTAGTTAATAACTCTTCTTGTATTGTGACTTTAGATGCAACAGCCGCTACAATTCCAGTAGCAAAAAGAAAACACGATCACGTGAATCAACATCAGAAGAAGAGCTCACTACTAGTCTATCATCGGTTGTATATAATATCAAACTAAAGAAGCACCAATCTTTTATACTATGCGCTGTTAGCTACCCAAGATGCATCAGCACACATTTGACTTGTTGGAAGTATGGTCTTCCTGTGTGTTACCCTGAGTAACCTTGAAAACTTGTAATCTATTATAATACTAGTGTCAGTCAAGGTTTGGCAAATAGTGTTGTGCATTCTTGGGTTCCATGTTGGAGCTTAGTATTTTGGCTCTTCGTGCGTCTGTCCACTGAAGGAAAGGACTTTGTTGGCATTATGCAATTTACCAATCTGCATTACTTAATCCAAAGCAATGCCCTTCCAGTAACCGCAAAGTTAATGTAGGAAGGGAAGCAAGGACTAGAAATTGAGCAAAGTTTTGAAGGAAGCCAAAAGTCCGCAAGGCATTAATGATGGAAAAATCGCAAAGCATTGCTGAGAATGTGCATGTTCGAAAAACATTACCGGGATTGYTGTATCAACTATCATGGACTTCTTATTAGATAAACAAAATAACCGACTAAAGTTCTCAAARTTGATTTCCTGTATTAGCCAGCCAAGAACGATGTAGCGACCCTCATCAGTCTATGGACTGATCTTAAATATCAGCTAAATAATAATACATGTWGTTATAGAAATAGTATGCCCGTTAAATCTGAATAGGGTCAACTTGCTGAAGAACAAAACAAACGGTACGAGATATTCAAACTCCTTTAACTTTAAAGATGTCATTGTTGGTCAATCATGAACTGTATACTTTGTGTGAATTTTTATTTATATAAGAATGTTTTCCACGTTGACAAAATCAATATATTAAATATCATGTAAACCAGTTATCAATATTATTCATACCATTTTCCTGCCGCACAAACAATAAAATATAATTTATCCAATGATGACTTGTTTTGTAATTGAATAACTTTAAACAAACACACGTTTATAGCACGAGTTTTGGTAGGCATACATTGATGTTGGACATTTCTTCCTTTGCGCAGGACAAATAATTGTGTATCTAAGGATACTTGTGTGTATCTAGGGAAAATTGTGTGTAGCTACGGATAATTGTGTGTGTCTAGGGATAATAGTCTCCTTCACGGTTACCTGCGCCATCTTGAAAGGTAGCCGTGCCTTCACATGGAAGCGAGACAACCGTTGAGCGTGCAATGATCTAGGGAGTGCTCATAATTTATCCCGTGGAGGGGCTAAGACTCTAGCTCGCTTGTTTAGCGTACCAGAGRCTGGGTTTACTTTTTCTTATAGTTTATTTACGTCGCGAAATTCCGTCTTTGAGGCTATAGGGCCGAACCGTAAACGGGGTAGACACCATTATTAGAAATTTTCATCCAAGAACTCCCTAACGAATTGGTGTACAGTGCTGAAACTCTGCATGAACGTAGCAATATGATAAGGAAGTTCTTTTCCAGAAATCGGTCAATATATCTTTGATACAAAGTAAAATGTGAAATTTTTATTTTGTATACGCTCTCTTTCTTTGAAAATTCTTGCTCCAAGTTAAGTAGCGCATGATGTTGTTTTTCCTCGATGAATTTCGACCAAACTTTGGTAATAGTTAGGCAATACCTCGAATATTATGTCCCTGAGATATCGCGGAAAAAATAGGCTTAATTTGTTTGAAATAGCTGTAAAAGCGTTTTCCTGGATTTCCCCATAAAACGCATAAATTAAATCCGATTTTCCAAAAATTTMCTCMATATGAATTTGAATCCCTTGTTAATCATATAGTAAAATATTATTGCGATCTGACCAACTTAAATCACTTTTTGACCCGTTTCTTTCGTCTCGGTCGGTGTTATAAACAACTGTATCCAGATACCTTAAATTCGCTAATTGCAGGTGCCAATGCCGACTTCAGATGCATCTGAGCATACTAACTATGATCTGATGTATTCAGTATGTATGTCAGATTTAGTAGGTTCGTCAGTTATATTCCACTAGCTTTTAGTGATATTCCGGATTCATTTGATATCTTGTGTGAACTAGTAAGAACTTTTAAGATAAGTTCAAAAACTCATTAATTATTCATGAGGTATTCAGCCAATCCCTGTTTGTAATTTGTACCACGTGAAGTAACTTGAAACCAGAGGAAGTACTCGTACCTTATTTCCAGTTACTTCTACCTTTTTCAAGTTACTTCTACATTATTTCCAGTTACTTCTACCTTATTTCCAGTTACTTCTACAAGAGCAACAAACGGTGCTTCATGCATTCAAAATTATGAAAACTGAAAACCTTAGTGGAGATGCAATAAATCAATATATTTCTGTTATATGTATTTCCTTCGCTTTTTTTCCCTCCCGAATAATTAATGAGTTTTTGAAGTCGTTCAAAGGCCTCCAATTCGGACTTGACGGGATTTCAAAGTCCTTGCAATTAGTTCCAGTCCTCGGCTAGCGCCTCGGAATGGAACTAATTGCGCGGACTTTGAAACCCCGTCAAGTCCTCATTGTCGGCCTTTAAACATTACAAGAACTTTCATGTTTCTCATACAGCCATGCGGTCCCGTTACATTCATATAGTACGAACTTTGCTAGGATCGTGAACCAGCTCGTTCCCAACATTACCATGTACATCTTTTAGTGTGGGTCTACCACGAACATGCAGCGTGTGCATTTGTGTGTGAGATCAGGGTTCTAGTTTAATGGCTTGCCAGACTTAATGAGAAATAGGAGTTAACCGTGAGCCGTGAAACGGCTGCCAATTAGCCGTGAGTCCTGAAAATGCGAAACAATTAGCAGTGAGGCATGAATATTTTAATTTTTTATAGCGTGAGCCGTGATTCAGTTTTGTTCCTTAGAAGAACAGTCAACTCCAGGCGCGCGCTTGTAATTTGTTTGTGTAAATTAAAAAATAAATAAAAGCTTTAAGTGGAGATGTTTCAAAATTTTGCTTGCAAGAATTTTTTTTTCGGCCCCTCGATCCGTTCAGGAATTGTTTTCCCTAAATCTTTCACTCTTCCAACCACACCCCTCAAAATTCTAGTGGATCGCACCTACCAACAAGGCAGTAATTGCAAGGTCCTGAAGACAAGTCAGGGCACGGACAAAATTTGAACATTTGAGAGTGATGATAAAAAATTATAATAACTGAGTGTCTATAACGTACAAGTGGACACTGTGCTCCCACACTTACTATCTCTAGCACAAAACAAATTATGAAAAAGTAATGAAAAACGTATTTCAAAAATTTCTGAAAGTAATCTAGTTAACCGTGATTCGAAAAAATTAGTCGTGAGTCGTGAAATAGCCAAATTTTTAGTCGTGATGCGTACCACTCCAATCCATTGAGACCCTCCTCAATGAGCGGTACAAATGTACAGACAAAATCTCCAAAACAAAACTACCACTCATTTAGCTAGWATGTTAGTACATCGAAGACTTTGAGCGGGAGCCGACAGTGAAAAGAAAGTCGGTTCTCGGGAAAGTAAACACAAGAGATGACAATATGCAAAAATAAATAAATAGATAAATAAATAAATAAAAAAGATAAACAATAAATGAAATTGAAAGGAAAAAAAAAACAAAATCGTTAAACGTCTCCTCCAGGGAATCGATCCCGCTACCATCAAACCTATATTGGATTTGCAAGCGGCGCGCCTTAACGTGGTGTGCAACTGGACCACGATCATTTACATAATAATAGACCACTTGACACTTTCGCCGAATAGACTACCCCAATTTGACATTATATTTTCGATAGTTGCCTAGTTAGTGCAAGGGGTTATCCATCAGTGTCTAGGGGCCGGATAGCTTCTCCCTCACTGGCTTTTTAGTTAGCGCGAAGTTAGGACCAATTATCGGGATAGCATGGAAGAGCCGAAATCTCTAACCGGAATGTAAATCGATTCG